TTGAGTGATGGCCATTAGTTTTCAAAACCAGGTTCGGCTTATTAAAGAAGAAGTAGTCAATATAAAATACGCCATCCAATGGGCGAAATTGAATATGATCAATACATTTTTGTTGAGCGAAAACGAAATTAACGTAATAAATCATCAATTCAAAATTGGCCACATGCCGCCTTTAACTACTGAAGAGATGTTAGAATTCTCAGACGTTTCCATTTTGCATAATGGAACTACACTTATTTACATTGTCAAAATACCAAATTTCGAAACAACAACTTTCAAAATTATATAATAAAGCCAATAATAAAATCCAATAGCATTGTTAATCTTCCTGCAAAGGAAATCTTTGAAAACAAAAATAAAAACATAATGTTCGGCATTAAGAATCAATGTAAGAATTTCTATAACATTAAAATTTGTAACAAAAATAAGTTCGAAGATTTAAGTCAGAATAATTGTTTGCCTAAGTTACTCAGGGGAGAGCAAGCGATGTGTGAGTTTACCAACGCCGACCACATACCCATATTGGAGGAAGTCGACGAGGGAATCATTCTAGTGAACAACTTTAATGGCACCGTAACTTGGCAAGACAACGCGAAGCAGATAAAGGGAACATTCCTTATAAATTTCTGGAATGAGACAATCTCCATCAACGGCAAGGAGTTTAGCAATACAGAGATGACAATTGCTGAACCGGGAATACCACTTATCCAGCTAGCTCCAGTAGAAATAGAACGATTGAGAATTTTATCACTGGAAGCACTAGAAGGGCTTCACCTGGATAATACAGAAAAACTGCAAAAACTCCAAACCCACTCAAATATCAACCGGATCGCACTCTTGACTGCAATAGCATCCCTAGCCATCCTAACACTTACCCTCCACTGGTTCAGAAAGAAGACAATAAACCTACAGCTCGGGAACATCCATCCAGAGGTCACCCAGGTAGCACCAATAAACTTACAGCTCGGGAACATCAATCCAGAAGTCACCAAAGTAACGCGAAGTCCCCCAGCTACCACATACCAACCGACAAATACGCAGTTCAACAACATGCCATTTTTTTGATTACACTTGAGGACAAGTGTGAATCTGAGGGGGAAGAGTTAACAACGAAAATATTTAAAGTCTGTAAAAATGCAATTGTCTTCAAAACTTCAATTGCAATAAGATCCGGCAGGCAAGTGCAAGAGCCCCAATAGTGCTAACCTCAGCGTCTGGATAACTTCCCGCACGCGCAACCCAAAACCCCACTTCGCTGCAACAGCGGCTGCCGACGCCATCGCCACTGCCAACGCCGCCGTCGACACACACAGCTCTCATTAGGGTTTCTTTACCTTAGTTTGATTAGTCTTAAAATTGTAACCAACAAATAAAGTCCAAATTGGACAAATAAAAGTTTAATTTTTTTTTATAAAAATAATAAAAAGAAATTTAACTTGCATGCATGTTTCTCTTTACTTTTTCAACCGTAAGTAGAGAACCGCACACATAGACACGAACTGTTGCTTGTTCTGTGTGTGAGTGTGTGTATATGATGTCCCCAACTATTTGATATTTGCGTTCTTTGTTGTTGCTGCATAAAGTTACTAATGAAAAACCTAATGCTAAATGTAGTAAGCAAAGAAAAAATTACTTTTAAAAATGTTAAATATTTTTTAATTAATTAACATTTCAGGCTCTGTCAGTGCAAGACGAATGAACATACATACATACATAGATGTGTACATGTACATAGATGTGTACATGTACATAGATGTGTACATATGTATGTGTGTACATTTACACATTAGTGTCTCACATTTTGCTTTGGCTATTTCAATCGTTTGCACGTAACTAAACAAACAGCTGCTTGTATGTGTGTGTGTATATGTATACTTAGTTGTCCCCAACTGTTTGATATTTTGTATTGTTTGGTCTGCCTGCATTTGTAGAATGCATATCCTTGAACGCAAAGTTATAGATTTAGTTACGTAGATTACAGTCCCCAAATTTGAAATCAATCAGAAAAAATTTATAACACAAACTTTCCATTTGAAAAGGTGAATAAATATTAAAATCCCAATAATTCAAGCTCCACCACAAATTTCAAAAATCCGAGTATGCAGGTTTGTTTGTATTCTTTTATAGATTATAAAAATCAAAAGTTGATCGGTGCAGAAATTCAGAATTTTCAAACAGATTTTGGAGCTCGTTTTCCCCCTTTTTGCAAAAATCCCTTCTTAGTGGGCACCTACACTATGAAAAGATACTTAAGTCCAAATTTCAGCTTCCTAGCTTTTACCGTTTGGGCTGTATGTTGATCACCAATCAGTCAGTCAGGACAAACTGTTTTATATATATAGAGATGTATATAGAGATTAGAGACAATAATAAATTTGTAAATAATGATTCAAATAGTTTTCAGAGCAATTCTGTGACCGACCGATGTTTCTCAGAAAGAAAAACTAACTGAACACAGATTTACTCTCTCTCCATATTCCGATTCCCGTTGACAGGCAAAACATTGAGAGAGTTATATCCAAATAGGGCAAGGCTTAACAAATCCCTGTATGCTACGCTGACCAATAATAATTATGCTCTAACATACATGTGTGTATGTATTGAATATTTTTATTTCATTTAATTAATTAATTAAATTAATTAAATTCTTTAAATTAATTTTTTTTTGTAGGGTGATTCAGGGTATTTAAGAGTTGAATCTGCTCGGCTAGGATTCCTTTATTGTTTTTAATTAAATAACATTTCTTGCCCTGTGGTGGAATGGTGAATGTAAATATGTACACACATTAGTGTCTCACAGTTTGCTTTGGCTATTTCAATTGTTTGCACGCAACTACACGTATGTAAGTGTGTGTGTGTGTATGTATACTAAGTTTTGTCCCCAACTGTTTGATATGCATTTTATGTTGTTGGTTCTGCTTGCATTTGTAAAGCGAAACACTATATTTTTTCTATATTTTGAAAATCCTTGAATGCAAAGTTGAAGATTTAGTCATTACATTACATACATTACCCAAATTTGAAATCGACCGGAAAATTCCCCATGTTTTCACTTTTTTCGTGGCACTGCTGCTGGGGCAGACCAGCAACACTATGTTATGGTATTTTCCGGGTTTGACATTTTTTTATGAAGGCTCTACTGATTGCGTATTCTTTGTGTGATTGTTTTACAATTGGTGATTTGTATCTTCGATTTTTCGTATTTTTATTTTATTGAATATGAAAATGGTGGCAAAGTAAAGTTGATTGTGAAAGTTAGATATTAAAATATCTAGTTCCAGAAAATATTTAACTGGGAGCGAAAAACGAAAGAGAAATGGAGAAAAAGGGAGACTGAAATAAAAATAAAAAATGGCCTAAAATAAGGCAGTACTTAAAAAAGTATGACTTAAATAATGAATAGTATACCAGAATTATAAGATGCAGCACCCAACACCAGTGACTATCCAGATCCAGAACAACCACAACAAGGTAATAGCAAAAATCAAAGATAATTATATTTTAGCATGAACAATGTTGTATCTTCGCCATATGTTACTGATACTGTTACTTAAAGAGCTAACTGATCAAGTGAAAAGGTTCGTGAATGAAAACTAAGATTGTACTTGTATACCTAAGGGCCCTTTCTTAAAAGATAGTGACAATAGCTCTTTTCTAGAAATCCGGCATATAAGAAAATACTACATTTTTGGTTTATGGCTATGACAACTGGAAACATATTGTACAAGTAGATGCCATACAAATACACGATCATTTTTAAAATTAAAAACCTATTTAAGAGAGACAATGAGACAACTCTATGTAACTTGGCTATTCTGTCTATTGAAAATGCTATGCCCCGATCTTTAAACTTTGATAATAAATATCTTATTGAAATTATTTTTGTTATTTATTTCATTGAAAATGTATGCAGATTTCCTCTCGATGTTGTTCCTTCACCGAAAAGCTAGCGAATAGATGAAGAATGCTTTGAGATATTAAAAATAAATAAAATAAATAAATAAATAAAATAAGTAAATAAATAAAATTAAACGGTGTAAAATGTTATAACGAAATAATAGCCATGTCCGTCTGTATGAACGAAAGGAACTCAGAAGGTACTAGAGCTAGAATTAGCAAACTTGGTACCCAGGCTTCCCTAAGCCCTAGGCAGATCAAGTTTGTTATTTTTTTCCGATGCACCCCGCCCCCATTTCTTCGCTATTAGTGAATTCTCATAGCTCCCGTAATTCTTGGAATTTCGAATTTGGTAGTCACATCCAGTTAGAGTTTGTGTGTCCGTATGCCTAATTTCATCATGATAGGTTAATTATGAAGAAAGTTATAGCCATAAATATAATCTCTGCTGCGGGCTCAGTTTGGGCAGAGACTACATTTATGGGGTTCGTAAAATGTGCTGACTACCCGACCACTAAGAAATTCTGCCTCGGGTATTACTGGGTCGCTGTCGGCAGAGCTCGTAGGTATCGTGAGCCGCTGCCGACAGCAGAGGAGTGACGTAGGTGGTACCTGGTACTATATTTCTGAATGAATGTCTTCAGTTTTTTGGCTATCGGAAATAAATAGATCATTTGCAAATAAATAAACTTGTTACTAATATATTTTATACTACAAGTATTCTAAACTCTGAACGAAACTCTGCTGCTGTCGCCAGCGACCAACGGAGAAGTACGGCGAACCACGGCCGACCCGCACGACCTATGGCATCTGCCAGACGGCTCAGGCGACACTCTGCTTCAGTCGGCAGTGACCCACGGCGACCCGCGGAAGAATTTCCCGTGTGTGCGAATGAATTTTGCTCGCATTTTACGAAACCTGTTCACAATTGGCCTATCCTGATGAATCTTAATATACGGGACTCATAATCACTAACTGGTTGTAATATTAATCAAACCACTGTCGTCAGGCAATAGAACTGAAATTACTAAAATGTCTCAAAACTAAGCACTCGCACTTACATAACTACTTGTCAATATAAATCAACCAACATATTTTTCCAGCGAGCAGCTTTTTCAAACGATGGCTGACCTTTTAATAACAGAAGGATATGCGTCTGCTGGGTATGAGTTTATTAATATTGACGACTGCTGGCTTGATCGACGTCGAGCACCAGATGGCAAGCTTGTACCTGATGGCAAACGGTTTCCCAATGGAATACGAGCGCTGTCTGATTATGTAAGTTATGTATTTTGAACATCACTTTTAGTATACCTTTTTATACTCTGTACATGAAATGTACAAGAGTGTATTAGGTTTGCGTGAGCTGAAAAATGTAACAGACAGAAGGAGGCGTGGTAGACCCCCAAAGTATGTATGTATATTCTTGATCACGACATATGGCTGCAAGATCCTAATTGTTGAATACACTCGCAATCGGCGGAAGTTGATTTAACTTCTGCTTATTTATGACAATCTGTTAGGTTATGATTTTTAAGAGTCGCTGCTTCTTGTTTCCCGGTGATTTTTGATGCGTTTTTCAAGTACATAAACCAATAGCAGGATCACAGACAAGCATAAATTTATAATTTGCGATCATTAAAAAATGTGAGAGTATTTCATTGGCATGCGGTAAAGAAGAAAAACAAAGCTGAATACAAGATAAAAGAGAACGCTGCAGAGCAAGATAAGAGAGAACGCTACAGAGCAAGGCCGACAGTAAAATAGCTGGTACTCTTCCCAAAAAAGGAAAATTTAAACAAATCTATTAAAAAATTAAACTATTTTAAACTAGTATAGCCTTTCACCCTATGGGTAAAGGCTATAAAAAATTCAATTAATTAATTAAATTAAATTTATTTAATACAAACATACAAAAGTGATGACATGTTTATGTACAGTTTCAACAGCATACATTTACATCATCGTTTATATGCGTGTATGTATGCTATACATATTTATGTCAAAGCAGCAGCAACAACAGCTGCGGGCAGAGCTGCGGGGCAGCGATTATTTATGGCTATAACTTTTGTCATAATTACCCTTTTTGGTTCAACTTTGTGCTGCACACATACACTCATATAAGCATGCAGAGACACGATTCTATGTAAATTTATGTAAACATGAATCCACTTTTGTATACATATATATATTCAATAATTTGTATTTAATTTAATTACTTAATTTAATTAATATAATTTTTTAACATTAATTACACTTTTTTTTTATTATTTACTTTTTGGTGGGAGGTACAGGGTATTTAAGAGTTGAGCCTACTGTTTTCTTGTTTTCATTCATTTTGCTGTAAAAATGTATTTGTTTGGGCCCTAGAGCTGCAAAATAGTCGATGCTGACTGACGATCCTTTCTATTTTTTGTTGTTGGGATTATTGTTGAATGGTTTGTATAATTCAATCTATAGGGACTATTCTCCGTCGTTTTCCATTGTTCCATTGTAGTTCTAGGCAGCTGAGCTGAGAATGAGCTTAGAAAATGAGAGAAGTCCGGGGCGCCCAAAAACTTAAACCACTGACAAAAACATCGCCAAAATTTCCCAAATGATTCTGGACGTCCGCCAAATCCTAGTAAGGGAGATAGCTGATATTACCATATTTTGTACAATGAATTGGTTATGAGAAAGCTTTGGGCACGTTCTGTTCGGCATTTTCTCACTTTTGATCAAAAGCGTGTTCTCATATATCAGCCGTTTCCATGACAAAAATTCATAAATTTCACTTTGAACTGATTCAGGACCTTCTTTTTATTCCCAAAACTTATAGTTGCACTAAGAGGACAGAAATTTTACTCAAATGTAGAGGATATTATCTTCGTAAACAACAAATTTTAGGAACAATATCGACTTATTTTTGGGGAAGTTCATGAGATGGAAGCATCGCTGGGAACACTATGTTGACTTAAAAGGAAAAAACAAAGAAATGTTGAACCATAGTTAGACTGAGAACATTTTAAATCTCCCTCGTGTATTGTAAGAAAATAATTTACAAGTATATATTTTTTTAATGCTCTTTGTTTCCAGCTTTGTTGACTCTGAAACTCTTTTTATACTCTTTACATAAAATGTACAAAAGTATATTAGGTTTGCGCGAGCTGAAAAATGTAACAGACAGAAGAAGGCGTGGCAGACCCCACAAAGTATATATATTCTTGATCAGCATGACAAGAGCAGTCGATCTAGCCCTGTCTGTCTGCCTGTCCGTCTGTCTGTCCTTATGAACACCTGGATTTTTTAAAAAGAAGTTATAGCCATAAATATATTTGCTGCCCACGCGCTGCACCAGCGCTGTCCTCAGCTGTTGTTGATGCTGGTGCTTTGGTAACTGCAAACATGCTCACACAGACACGAACAGACGCCCATAGACATTCATACACTCACATAGACGCAATTTCTTTGTATATGTTCAATAATACACCCTTTACGTGAGTTCTAATACCAAAATAGGTAAAATTGATCACATTTTTTTTCTTAATTTTTTTAATTTCTACAATTATTCTACACATATGTACAGAGTATTTTAAAGTCGGGACACCCGACTTTAGCTGTTTTACTTGTTCTACCCTGTACCTTATGGTAAGAAGGGTATATTAAGTTTATGCAAAGTAAGTAACAGACAGGAGGAAGCATCTCCCACCCCATAAAGTATATATATTCCGCCCGTCTGAATGAACACCTGAATTTTGGGAACGGCTAAACGCACAATCAAACATGGTATGTAGACGCTCCTGGTCCCTGGGCAACACGAGTCCATTTTATTACATAAACAACAAACGTAATACACCTACAAATATCTACTTTCACTTCAGTACTACGCCCACAATCAGCAGCTTCAGCTGTGGGTGCATATAAGTCAGTGTCGGAAGTTTGTCTGGGTACGGGTGTTTCACTGTCGGCTTGTTCGGCCTTCTCTGTTGTATTGATTGTCATTCTAAAATCAGGTCTTGGTAAAATATCTAATAACTAAAAAGAACATTGTGTATCTTTCAGATTCATTCCAGAGGCTTAAAATTCGGTATTTACGAAGATTTTGGAAATTATACTTGTGCTGGGTATCCAGGTATAATAGGATATGAGAAACTTGATGCGCAACTATTCGCAGATTGGAATGTTGACTATGTTAAGCTGGATGGTTGTTATGCCTTACCACAGGATATGGATAGAGGCTATACAGAATTTGGAAAACTTTTAAATAATACTGGTAAACCGATGGTCTATTCATGTAGCTGGCCTGTTTATCAAATATATGCTGGTATCCAACCTAATTTTTCGGCAATAAAAACACATTGTAACCTTTGGAGAAACTATGATGATATTCAAGATTCCTGGATGTCCGTTGAAAGCATAATTGATTATTATGGCAATAACCAAGATATAATCGCACCCAACGCAGGCCCTGGACATTGGAATGATCCTGATATGGTAGATATGACCTTATGATATTATTTATGTTCTTACCGACAAATTTGAGGTAGACAGAAAATTCTTAAGATTACTGCAATCGGGAGTCATACTGTGAGAAATACATCTAGCTCATGGTCTTTATACTTTGGGACTATCTGCATGTTGTAACGTTACTATCTGGGGTGCCAGAGAAAACTCTCGATATTTCGGCTACAGTTGTTTTTGAATTTTCTTAAAAAATCCGTCGTTGCAACAGAACTTCTAAAGATTTCATTTTTTCGAACTTCCTCTCCAAGCCTGCTGTTAGCAAAAGCTGACTCATAATGACTCATTGTCTAACAGTCTCGACTGAGTTGCCAGCGCACGAATTTAAATCTGGCAGTTCCGTATTATCATATTTATTTTTCTTTTCGTGTTTGCATTTTTAGTAAATTTGGTACATAACTTATAATAATTGTAAAGATTTTTTTAAATAATTAAATGGCGCACGCCTAACTCATAAATAAACAAGATAGAACGCTACAGTCGAGCAAGCCCGACAGTAAAATAGCCTGTACTCTCCACAAAAAAGAAAAATTAAAAAAAAAAAAAATTTAAAAAAAATAAATTATTAAAAAAACAAGATAGAACGCTACAGTCGAGCAAGCCCGACAGTGAAATAGCCTGTACTCTCCACAAAAAGGAAAAATTAAAAAAAAAAAAAAAATTAAAAAAAAATTAAATTATTAAAAAAAATTAATGAATGAATTAATTAAAATAATTAATTTAATTAAATTAGAATACATGTTTATGTTCAGTTTAAACAGCATGCATTTACATCACGTACCTATGCGTGTTCATATGCGTGTATGTATGCAGCACAAAGTTGAACAAAAGCAGCAACAACAACAACAGCTGCGGGCAGCGCTGCCGACAGAGCTGCAGGCAGCGCATGAGCAGCGATTTTACTTATGGCTATAACTTTCTTCAGAATTGACCTATCATGATGAAATTTGGCACACGGACACATTAGTACTAACTGGATGTACCTACCAAAATTTTTTAAATTCCGAGAATTACGGAAGTTATAAGAAAAAATACGAATTGCGGGGGAGTGGGGGGGTGTATCAGAAAAAATAAACAAACTCGTTCTGCCTAGGGCTTATAGGAACCTTGATACCAATTTTGGTTATCCTAGCTCTTGTACTTACTGAGATCCTTGCGCTCATACAGACAGACGGACAGACGGACAGACGGACAGACGGTCAGACGGACAGACGGACATGGCTATATCGACTCGTCTTCTCATCCTGATCAAGAATATATATACTTTGTGGGGTCTGCCAAGCCTCCTTCTGTGTGTTACATACATGCGCACAAAACTAGTATAGCCTTTCACCCTTTGGGTACATGCTATAATGAATGAATTAATGAATGAATTAAATTAAATTAGAATACATGTTTATGTTCAGTTTAAACAGCATACACTTACATCACGTACCTATGCGTGTTTATATGCGTGTATGTATGCAGCACAAAGTTGAACAAAAGCAGCAACAACAACAACAGCTGCGGGCAGCGCTGCCGACAGAGCTGCAGGCAGCGCATGAGCAGCGATTTTACTTATGGCTATAACTTTCTTCAGAATTGACCTATCATGATAAAATTTGGCACACGGACACATTATTATTAACTGGATGTACCTACCAAAATTGATTTTAAAATTCCGAGAATTACGGATTATAAGAAAAAATACGAATTGCGGGGGAGTGGGGGGTGTATCAGAAAAAATAAACAATCTCGTTCTGCCTAGGGCTTATAGGAACCTTTATACCAATTTTGGTTATCCTAGCTCTTGTACTTACTGAGATCCTTGCGCTCATAAAGACAGACGGACATGGCTATATCGACTCGTCTTCTCATCCTGATCAAGAATATATATACTTTGTGGGGTCTGCCACGCCTCCTTCTGTGTGTTATATACATGCGCACAAAACTAGTATAGCCTTTCACCCTTTGGGTACAGGCTATAAAAAGTGATGTTTGAAAAATATAATTTTTATAGCCCAGCCCCCATACCATTCTCTGTCTTACAAATAAAATAAAATTTCTCCATCAATCTATACAATATGATGGCACTCATATTATGGTGAGCTTGTACATAGTTGCTTGCTATGCACATAGAACTATTTACTACCAAAGGCTAACACATATTTTTTGTGTAAAAGCATCTTTGGAAGAACTCGTAATGAAATAAACCAACGCTCCAATTTCTTATGTGCTAAAAATTTAATATTTTACTCTTTCTTATTCTCTGAACATTGTACTTTTTGTCTATCCGGATCATGTCAAGTGGTTTTCCCCTCCATATGTATTTGAAGCCTTTTCCTTATCTAGTGCATTGCGCACCCACCCTTAACCACTATCGCTCCATATGCATATGAATTTCTTGCTATCTCCCATGCGTTGGTTTGCAGCACTACTGCACGCGACTATTTGTAACGGTTAAACTACACGGACTGGGCAGCGCTTGGGCAGCGCGTGGGCAGCAAATATATTTATGGCTATAACTTCTTGTTAAATCGGTCTATCATAGTGAAACTTGGCATACGGACACATAATGACTAACTGGAGGTATTTCCCAAATTTGAGAGGGGGGAAGGACGGAAATTCCAAAATACATTTTCTGCGTATTTACATAAAGCATCTTGGACTAAAATTTGGTGTGCCTAGGTCTTATAGTCTCCAAGATATAGGCAATTATACGAATGGAGCATCGGGAAGGGAAATGTACAAGAGTATATTAGGTTTGCGGGAGCTGAAAATGTAACAGGCAGAATGAGGTGTGGCAGACCCCACAAAGTATATATATTCTTGATCAGCATGACAAGACGAGTCGATCTAGCCCTGTCTGTCTGTCCGTCTGTCCGTATGAACACCTGGATCTCAGAGACTATAAGAAGTAGAGACACCAAACACAAAGATGCGTATTTTGGTGTGTGTATTTTGGAATTTCCCTCTCTCCCCCCTCTCCCATGCAAATCGCGATTTCCCCCGTAATTCTTAGAATTTCGAACTTAAATTTTGCAAATACCCAGTTAGTAATTATGAATCCGTATGCCAAGTTTCATTATGATATACCGATTTAACAAAAAGTTATAGCCATAAATATATTTGCTGCTGCTGTTTGGTTGACTGCTAACATGTTTACTCAGACACGAATATACGAGCATATACATACATACACTCACATAGACGCAATTGCTTTGTATATGTGCAATTATACACCCTTTACGTGAGTTCGAATACCAAAAGAGGTACAATCGATAAAAAAAAATTTTTGTTTAATTCTCATACTTTTTTTTAATTTATATATTTATTCTAAACATATGTACAAAGTATTTCAAAGTCGGGACACCCGCCACTTGTTTATTAAAAATAAATAGGCGACACTCGCGTTTACTTATTGACATTCGGTTTTTCTTTTAACAACTTTAAATTTCGGTCACTGCTATTTATGGAGTTTAATGTTATTTCTTTTCTATTCACTTTTCTTGAATATCTTTAAATTCTTTTTCGGTGCTGACTAGACACGTCTGCACTCTCTGACGGGTGGAAATAGAAACTGCCGAAGGTTAGCTTCTATCGTCTGACTTAACCCTTTTTCCTTTCGAAAGTGGTGAAAGCGCCATCATAGGAGACACTGAACCGCCTATGACAATTAAAATTTTCCCCATGCCAACCAATCTACGATCTAAGACCGTTGCACAGTGGGGCCTTCTGACTTTTTTCGTTGCAAAAATCATATCTCTTGAACGGATAAAGACATAAATGTTGACGGTGCAATATTTGCTTATAAAACTGAGAAGTTTTTAAAATAAAATAAGATAGAACGCTACAGTCGAGCAAGTCCGACAGTAAAATAGCCTGTACTCTCCACAAAGAAGAAAAATTAAAAAAAATAAAAGTATTAAAAAAATTAAATTATTTAAAAAAAGAGAAAATGCTACAGTCTAGCAAGTCCGCCAGTAAATTAGTCTGTACTCTCCACAAAAAATGAAAATTAAAAAAAAATTATTTAAAAAAAATTAAATTATAAAAAAAATTGAATTAATTAATTAAATTAATAAAGAACATTTATTTAATACATACATAGAAGACATGTTAATGTTCAGTTTTAACAGAATACATTTACATCAAATGCGTGTATGTATGCAGCACAAAGTTGAACCAAAGCAGCAACAGCAACAACAGCTGCGGGCAGAGCGAAAATATTAAGAAAAATAAAAAAAAAATTTCATCGATTATACCTCTCTCGGTATTCGAACTCACGTAAAGGGTACATAATTGCACATATACAAAGCAATGAAAGTCGATACGCGTATATTCGTGTATAAAACAAACTTGCACAGCGTACACACATAAGTCATCTTTGTGCAAAATTTGGTGTCTCTAGTGAGATGAGTCTGTCACGCCTCCTTCTGCCTGTTACATTTTTCAGCTCGCGCAAGCCTAGTATACTCTTGTACATTTCATGTACATCACAATTTAGTAATGCGTCAAAAAGATTGCAATTTTGATCAGCATGACAAGACGAGGCGATCTATGTCTGTCTGTCTGTATGTCTGTCTGTCCGTATGAACACCTGGATCTCAGAGACTATAAGAGGTACAGACACCAAACTTTGCACAAAGATGCGTTATGTGTGTACACTGTCCAATTTTTTTTATTTTCCCTGCACAGTTTCTCCCGTATCAGGATTTTCCCGATGTTCCGTTCGCATATTCATTTCTGTCTTGTTTCTTTTTGTAGGGGTGGTAGCTGACCCCGCTGGACTCTAGCATTCCTTTCTTGTTATACTTCCTTGTCTAGCGGACTTGACTGCCTAGGGTCATGACATACAGACACATAATCACTAACGGGATGTAATTATCAAATTTTAGTTCAAAATTCCAAGAAATTCGGGAATTATGAAACAAAAACACGATTGCGTTGGAGTGGGGGGGAGGGTGTATCAGATCAGCTGAGATGCTAGAGAT